ATAAATATCTGAACTCTGAACAATTGTAAAGCACTTTGGGTGACCTTGGTCTGTAAAATGTGGTATGTAAATAAACCTTACTTACTGACTTACTTACCATTCTGTATTTCGTCCTGTGCAGTGTTAGCCTGGCCTTATCCATCTGTACACTACGCTCAATCATCATTTCCTGCATGTATCAGTTGAATTCCATCCAACCAATCAGCAAGCGCGGGTGGCGGGTGTTGTAGGTAGATGACGTCAAGAGTTTGCACCGAACGGGCAGGTTGTAGTTTGGCAATGGCAAAGAATGCGATGGTAAAGTAATCCCTTCTGGTTCTATAAAGAAATCGAAGACGGAGCAAGAGGAATGTTTAGCAAATTGAATCTCTGGAAAAGATTGTGATGCTACTCCCCGCGGGCTCCGTTAGCGGCAAAGGAGATGGCTAGGCTAAAAGCTAACGGCTCACTCGGGTGCACCTCCAGAATTTTGTACGAAATGTGATTTGTATTGTGTGGTACGACCAGGCTAGTGTAGTGTTACCAGTGTACTATAAAAGCTATATTGTGTGTCTTTAAATTCAGGTTACTTCTTGTCACATCACATGCAGCGACATACAGCTTTTATAGCGATGGACAAACCGAGTGTAGTGTCAATAACTTTACACTAATATTCCGGTTGAAAGCCCCTGAGAAATTATTACATCAAACCTACCCATCCTATTCCGCGGCCAATCACACTTTTACAGACAAACAATGTCTCCCTTGACTGCGCTGCGTCTCAGGGGAGCCCAGACAGAGCCAACGTCCACAAAGACATTAGATTTATCGCAGCTTTCTCACTTCATCTGTGTTTAATGTTGGAAAGTGTTCGGCCGATAGCAGCAGCCCAATTCTGCAGCTTCTGAATTACCCATGCTGCGTGTTTGCTGAGTGCTGACTTCAAAGATCATTAAAGACAACGATGGGCCGGGGTAGAGGGACAGATACAAGGTCCCCCCCACCCCCACCCCCACCCCACCACAGCACACGGACTGTTGTCGGCGATCTGAGCCACTTCTGCTGACCAAAACACATTTACACTCATTTTAGCATGAAATGACATGGTGGGAATCAGTGGGAGTGATGCAGAAGAATGTTTTCTCGTTAGAATTGGAATTGTGTAAAGGACAGAAAATAAGAGGTCGATCTTGAGCGTGAAGAATGTGGCTGTACTGTATCTGTGATATGGGCGGTCGTACAGTCTGGGTCTGGACTATATGGGCTCAGTGCTAAAGGCAAGGCAAGGAATATGTATTTGTAAAGCACAATTCATGCACAAGGTCTTTGGGAGTGGGACTGGAGGTGACAGATGGTGGTCTCCCTTTGTTTCTGGGGACCAAAGACAATCATTTTGGGGGTTTTTTCTTCTTTTCATCATCCACTCACTGATCTGTTGCATGCAGTGGAAGAGTGAGTCCAATGGTCCATGTTCTCCTGCAGTCAGCGAGACTTAGATTTGAGTGTCGTCTGCATAGTTTCCTGAGTATTAACTATTGACCAGATGCATCAACGTCATCCAGTCACGTGATTGTGAATGAGCTTACGGCGGAAGTATTGGAAACTAGCATTGCTGCGAGAGCAAAACGGACTACAACTCTTAAAAACTGAGCTTCCTCTCCTAAATCGAGAAGTTGCTGCTTCAAGCAATGTTCGATTACGTTATAGGTGGAAGTAGGACATCAGGTCAGGGCTAAAAAGTGTTCACTGCATATTAGGGAGTACTTGGATGGGTCCCAGTCCTTTTGGTTGATTGCCGCCATCGTCGTCTTCTGTCTTCATGACGAGCAGGTATCAGATAAAAAAGCTTATGTCCTTGCCTGTTAGTATAATCAACCGCACTGCAAAATGTCACAGTTTTGGCTGTAATGCGCTGAAACAGGTTGTTTTGGTCAGGTCTCCGTAGGCTCGCAGTAAGACTTCTGCCGTCTGTCATGGAGAGTGGGCGTGGCCGGGACGTCACATGCAAGGGGTCAATAGAGCAGATTAATCCAAACTTATTTTGCAGTCCTCTTTTTCGTTTTATGTGGCTGTGCGCCTTGCCAGCCCATATCATCTCGCCAACTTCAGCATAGCGATCGACGGACATGCTGTACGTCATTATAAAGCCCAGAGCCACTTTATTTTGTTCATCTTTAACGACATTTGTCAATTCAGCTTCATATTTGCCAAAGGTGGGCCAACATGTCACACCTCAGAACACCTCCAGTCTGAAGCGTTTTACATCCTGCCATCTTAGACCCTGGATATGTCTGGTAAACAAAAGTGGGCCTCCGATTAAAACACCTTCTTGTTATGTACAATGGCAATAATAAGATTTCTGATTCTGAAAAGATTTGGTTAGCTTTGTAACAGAACATGGCTGATTCTTCATTTGAATGATTCTGAATGTCTGTGGAAGGCTGGATGCTCACACTAAATAATAATGAAATGAAAATCCAGATTGACGGTTGATACTGTAGGATTAAACAGACAAATTAAAAGTGTTATAGTTTTAATTTGAGTTTTTTCTTGTAGGATACTTGAGGTTGCTTTATATCGCTCCTCATTAGATCCATCACTCCATATTTAAAAGTGATTTACAATAAATTATTGGGCAATGTTGATGTTTTTTTACTTGAATGGTTAATTTGCAAAAACAGATAAGTGCCAGATTAGAACAAAATATTGGAAAGGCTTACAATTTGCCCTTTATCAAGTCGTTTTTTTGAAAAGGCAGGTGTATTTGACTGCCATACAAATGTTTTACCCCTTGTTGAGCAAATCCTTTCACATTTACTGCAAATAAGAAAACATGTGGATTATAACTAAGAAATACAACTATTTTCAAAACGGAGATATCCGTTTTTGCAACTTAACTCTTTTTTTTAAACCCTTGTTATTAGACTGATGCCTGGAGTCTAAACAGAACTAAACATTGAAAGGCAGCAATTCAGATTTATGCAGCTAAACTCTGGAGCAGTCTTCCTCAATAATGTGAGACAGGCTTCATCTTCATCCGTGTGTATGAACTGTGCTCTACAAACAGAATTGACTTGCCGTGCCCTAATTCAAGTATGAAAATTAACCACACAGACTCACAGCATACAATATAGATATTTTCTCTCGCACAATACAGAAGCCATTATAGAATCGTCTTGGATGAGAAGAACCTCTTTCCAGTCCTGCCGATGCCTTGAAGAATCACATGAACAACCAACCTCCTGCAGAAATGTACTCCGTCACCCGTAGCAGATTAAACATGGAGAGACGTGTGTGTGTGTGTTTCCGTATGCCACACCTGAAGCTGCTGCTCTTGGTTCGGCTCATATTGACTCAGGACACCACACTTCCATGACGTGACAAATGTGCTCATGGTTCTGCTACTGTACTTCTGCTTGCATGTGCCTCCAGCCATTCATCACTGTTTACTCACTGTGCCTTGGAGGGGTAAGACGGGAAGGGGAAAGGGGTGGGGTCCTTTTACATGTGTTTCTGTTATTGTCTGTATTTCTGTGTATTGTAAGTATTTAAAAAGCAATTCAAAAAATAGCTTCTTTCTCACTGCAATTTAACAGAAATATTATATACTGTATGTAGGGTAGCTGAGTGGTTAGCATTCTCAATTCTCAGTAAGAAGGTCCTGGGCCTTTTTGAGTGGAGTTTGCATGTTCCCCCCATGTGTCTGCATAGGTTTCCTCCAGGTGCTACGGTTTCCCCTACCACTGAAAACATATGCAAAAGGTAAAATTATCCAACTCTGGTACCCGGGCGCTGTTACTACGGCGACCACTGCCTCTGACGGAAGCCTTATCAGGATGGGTTAAATGCAGAGGACATACATGTGTTTCCCTACAGGGGCGATAAAGTGTCTACATTATAAAGTTATAGCTCAGTTGGTAGAGCATCAGCCTTTGGGCCTGAAGATCGTTCAAACTCCCACTGATGTCTGCTGTCGTTGTGTCCTTGAGCAAGACACTTAACCCCACTTTGCCTGGAGCCCCCGCTGAAAGATCAAGGCTCCTGTGGACTCACCCCCTGCAGGAGGATCAGTGAGGGTGCCATGTGTACTGGGTGCAGCTCTGACCGCCACCCAGAAATGGATTAAGGGGAAGAAAATGGATGGATGGATCCCTAATGTAACTGTGTTTGCCGTTGTGTCCTGTTTGACTTGTTTTTGTCTACTTTTTAATGTTGTTTTTGTTTGCTTGTTGGTGGTCCATAAAGAAATATTCTTACAATATTTAAGTCAGTAAGTAAGTAAGTAATTTGTATTAATATACCGCTTTTCACAGACCAGAATCACAAATCACAGGGAAACAAATTCCCACAACAATGGTGATGATTCAGGACATTTGAAGACATTTATCAACATTTATGGACATTGGTCATCCTCCTATTAAATAAGATTGACTTAATATATGTCCCAGTGGCTCCTATGTCTTTGTTTTTATTGGATTTCCATTTCAGTGTTTGAACTGTTTGTTTCTCTGATCTGTTATTGGCGAATCCACAACTTTGTAAAGTCCTTCGAGATGACAACTGTTGTGTTTTAGCGCTATAACCATAACAATACATTGATGAACTGTTGAAAGTGGACAGTGGGGATGATCCAGGACACTCAACATTCAACAACATTTATGGACATTTTTTATGGACATTGGTCATCTGCCTCTTATGGACCAATATGCTTTCTGTTTTATTCCTTGTGTTTGAACTGTTTTCTTCTCTGATCTGTGTTGGTGAATAAAGCCATGTGAGAAAAGTGCTGTGATTTAGGGCTATAAAGAATACATTGAATTGAACTGAATATTAGTGCTGTGACTGGCAACCCCGGTCTCCCCTGCTCCATGTGGTCACAACTCATAACATTTCCATGCATGCAGCTCCTATAATAACCCGAACACAGCCCATTCATCACTTCCATCACATCTGGACACACGCAGTCGGAGGGGGGCACTTTGCAGAGTTCCTGCCCGGGATGTGATCGCGTCACTGGCTGCATGCTACGAATCGAGGTGCACTGTAGGTTCCTTTCTTACAGCACTACAGCGTGTACTTGGGGACGGCCACACAGTAGCACACTCGCCTCTTTGCCGACTTCTGCATCCAGGAGCAACTTCACCCCCTCCAAAAAAACAGGTACAGTTTATTCATTGGGACACTTTGAACGAAACCAATACATGCGTGCAACTTTGGGCTTGTGGGGTCGAACTATATCCACGTGGTTGAGTGAAGTGGAAAAAGTAGCGAGTTATGAGTTGTTTTTTGTCTGTGCAGTGGCGTGGAATGGCTCACGCTTGCTTGGCCATACATATTTAATAGGCGCGTAGAGGCAGCTATGGTTTGGAACTATACATAGCTCATGCCTTCTTTAAAAATAAAAAATAAAGCCTCATTTTCTTTTATTTGAGATGCCATACATGACCACACAGATCGAGCTGTGCGTATTTTTTGGATTGCGATCTTGACTTTGGAGCGCGCGTAAAAAGGCAGGGCACGTCCCTTGCAGTGAATGTTGAATATTTAAGCAAAAAAAAGGAGTGCTTAGGATGCATAAGTGTACTTCTAAAAAAAAAAAAAAAGACCAGTACGGGCTGTTTTAGAACGTGTGGATCCGTGCGTGCCTTGCTTTGCTGTTGAATCCTCCCTCCCGTCAGACACCTCCAGGCGCGCACACATATACAGGCGGTGGTGGAGGAGAGAGGCAGGCAAAGGAGTGCAAGGCGAGGCGCAGACGCGGACTCATACCCCCCCTGCAGCTCCAGCGTCACAAAGCGGGACCTGGACAACTGTTGGCCGGGAGGAGAAGCACCCCACACACCCCGGGTAGAGTAAATGGGACCACACGGAGACAGAACATGGACAGAATTGTGCGACTGCTCGTTCTGAGCTGTGTCGGCGTCTCGTATGTGTGCGCGGGTGAGTCCAATTTTTTTTTTTTTTTTTTTTTTTTAGGATAAGTACGTGGGGGGTTCTGCTGGTATTGACGTGTGGGTGATTTGGCCGAAGCGTGTGGAGGTGTGGAGGTGCAGAAATGGGTTGAAAATGTAGTCTTATGAGCGCGTTTGAGCCCAGACATTCTCGTGTCATGTTTTGGGATGGGGGAGATGGTGGTGAATTTGGACTAGCCTTGGTGTGATTTGGAGAGGTGTTCTTGTGGATTATTGTGTGTAATACTTCATTTTGTACATTAGATTTCATGTGGTCTTTGTAAATGAATGGAGATGTATTCAGCTGTAGATGTCAGCTGTTTGGAGATGAAAACAGTGGTACCCAGACATAGATTAACCGCTGATCACTGCATGTATGGTCCTATAATCTGTGAAAAAAATCAAATTTGATCAGCATTCAACACGAACAGGACATAAACAGCTGTACATGTGCATGCTCAGCCCAGCTTCATCCCACCCGCCTCCTCCTCTGCCTCTCTGGAGGTGGAGCACTGCACTGGTCGCCACGTATTGTGTTGGTTTGAGCTCAAGTTGCTGGGTTTGGAATGCACTGCCAACAATGGAATATCTGGTCACATATAAATATTGACTTAAAAATCACGTTATTGTTCTTGTTGTAGTCTGTGTCTGTATTGGAAATATTTTGGACCAATCGTTTGCTTACTGTATGTGAACTAGAATATTTCACATAATAGTTGAAGACAAGCAACAAGCAACTCATAATAGTAAGTAAGTTTTTATTTATATACCGCCTCTTCATTGCAGATCTGAGCCTCAAAGCGGTTTACAATTGTTAATTTTTGGGCATTTGTGTCTCACTCCACACAGAGATGGAAGCGGGGCCAGTACAGGAGGCACATGCTAGAACTATTGGACATATTTTTAGTGGTAGGGGAAACCGGAGTACCCGGAGGAAACCTACGCAGACATGGGGAGAACATGCAAACTCCGCTCAGAAAGGCCCTGGTCCGACCGGGATTCGAACCCAGGACCTTCTTGCTGAGAGGCGAGAGTGCTATCCACTCAGCCACCGTGCCGCCCGAAATAATGATTCAAAAAGAAAATGCCTAAAGTATTGTCTATTTCAGCTCCCTGTTTCCTGAAAATCTTTTAGGGCCTATTTCTCAGTCAAAATATATGATATAGGGTTGTTAGTCATTATTATCATGGCTTTAAATGACCATGATTTGGCCGCTGCGTGGCCTTGGTCCTCGTTCTGTAGCTTCGGTCCTGGATCTACAGCCGGTCCATCAGTGTGGAGTGGTTCCCTCTCTCAATGTGGATCTCCCCGAGGTTTCTCACTTTTCTCCCAGGAGTCTGTTAGACTGTTAGTGTTTAACAAGAAGGACAGTGGTGATGATCCAGGACACTCTAAATTCTAAAACATGTATGGACATTTTTCAACATTCATGGACATTGGTCTCTCCCTATCGACCAATAAATATGTGTATTTTCTGTTTAACTGTTGATCCTCTGATCTGTGTTGGTGATTTCAATGGTTTTGTTAAGTCCTCTGAGGTGACTGCTGTTGTGATTTAGGGCTATACAAGAATACATTGTAATTGTGTGTATTGTATTGTAAATGTTATGTCACAATTACCACAGGATTCAAAGAAAATCTGTTTATTTTTGCCTCGACCAAAATCCCAACAGCTGTCGAGTTGGAGGTAGTCAGAAAATGGTTGATTTGCCAACAGCAGGCACAAAAATATGCAACAATATAATGAGCATAAATGTCTGATCATCCCCTGTCCTTAGACTGTCCTGCGTCGGCAAAAATGAACAATAACAGCTGAGAGTTTTAGATATTTTTGGTTCTGTTTGAATAAATGACTGAATTTGACATTTTGTAAAACTCTTGTGTTGTATGTCCATTATAAAAGCACTGATCAAGCAGAGAACACTCCACTCCAGCGTTCATAAAGAGCTTTTCCTGCTAAATCGAGTGGAATAATGCCGATTATGGCCAATTGCCCACCAGCGACCCTAAAGTCTACTCTTGTATATGTGTGTGTATCGTTCAGTCTCAGGACAATGAGGAAAGTCTGATTTTATTCTCAGATAAATCTCACATGAAATAAGTTGTAGTGCAATGATCACGTGCATTACATGTTATATGCTGTGGGCGACACTATTGGCCTTTGAGCCTGAAGGTTGTGGGTTCGAGTCCACCACAAGACCTTCTCCACCGACTCCCACCGATTCCTGCTGTTGTTGTGTCCTTAGGCAAGACACTTTAACCCCACTTTGCCTGAAGCATGTAGGAACTTTCCCCACGTTTCCACAAAACAGTAATAGTAACTTTGTTTTATGAAATGACGATATTGGCACCATTCTTTCACATGTGGCACAGCAGTTACATTGTAGGTAGCATAGGTTTTCTCCAGGTGCACCGGTTTCCCCTGCCACTAAAACATATACAATAGGTCTGAATGTACGGAGAGAGTGAACAAACGTGACGGTGGAAGCTTTGTGTTTGGCTTTTTAGCTTCTGTCATCACCGTATGTGGAGTGAATGGACAAATATTGGTACTCTAAAAACATTGTAAATCGCTTTGTGTGATCTTGTTCTGTGGTATGTGCTATATAAATAAATATTACTGACACTTACAGTGCCTTGCGAAAGTATTCGGCCCCCTTGAACCTTTCAACATTTTGCCACATTTCAGGCTTCAAACAAAAAGATATAACATTTTAATTTTTTGTCATGAATCAACAACAACTGGGACACAATCGTGAAGTGGAACAAAATTGATTGGATAATTTAAACTTTTAAATTATTGATCCGGGCTTTAGGTGCCATGTGAGCACGGCAACTGGGCTTGGGCACACCTTCTGCAAGTGGGTCCAGCGCGGATGAAGCTCGCTTTCTGGCGCGGATGAGGGGGGTCACTGTGGCGGGTGGTGGGGAGCGGGGGATGAGGTGTGGTAGGGACGTGATATTGTGCGTCACATTACGTCTTCCTGTGACACGCATTTTCACACAAGTCTCTCCCTGCACCGCTTGTTTTAAATCTTTCATATAAGCCCCCGGACCGCGGTGGAGGGGCGCAGGGGGTTACTTATTTAAATTCATTGTGGTATCATTTATGAGCGAAATTTGAGCCAATCACGAAGCAGTATTTAATTAAAAAATAAATAAATAAACACCCATACTGTAGGTGCACTGGAAAGAATTCCTTGAAAAAGAAATGAAAAAATAAAGTAAAATACTGCTTAAAATAAGAAATGGTATCTGCCAGAACATCAAGAAAATATGACTTCAGAAGATTTCTGGAAATAAAAAATAATACTAGCTCCAAATGACTTGATTCTAGTTTAAAAATATATATTTCAAGTATCATTTACTTTTTTATTTATACTTAAATAACTCCTTGTACAAGCATCAAAAACTCACTGCTCAGACTTTTTTCAGTTTATAAAGTATTATTATATTAAAACTAGTAATAAAAATAATAAAATAATATAAAAATAATAATAATATTACACAACAAGCTAAGTCCAAGCAAAAAGAAAACTTCATTTATGTTATTTCTAGATTGTACTTTTTTCAGCTTGCTCCTTTCTCATAGACTTGTCTGTCACAGTTTGTCTGTGTTAATTCAAAGATCCTCCCAGACACCTGCAGATGGAAAAAAAATCGATTCCAAGGGGATAGAAGAGTGAAGTGAAGCGTGTACATGCGCCATAAACGTCATGTTGGCTGACATCTTTACTGTGTCCGTCCTCATCGCGCCTCATAAACAGTCAAAGAGCAAAGTAATGCGTCTATTCAGAATGTAAATGTTCCTGGTCACACGTCGGCTCCAAATGAGGCCATAAATCCTGCTGCGCTGTCAGATCCGCACCAGGTTTAATCAAACAAAATATTGAATCAAATTAACGTAGTGCGTTTTGCTCCCGGCGTTGTGCTTTTGTTTGAAATATTTCTACAGTAATTAATGAATGCAGGAAGTTATTTTTATCAAGTGAACTTAAAAGAGCGGATGTTGGCAACCTCCCTGCGACTGGAGTACAATATATTATGTGTGGACTCAGCAGCCACCAATACAAGTGTCCGAAGGAGTTATGGTCCCGGAACTGTGGGGTTGGCTCCAAGAAAAGTGCACTTTCTCAAACTGTGGTACACAAGCTCCTCGTTTTTAAATGTAGCTTTAGGAGAATACATTGCTGGTTCTTTTTAGATAGATAGATACTTTAATGATCCCCGTTGGAGAAATTCTGGTGTCCAATAGCAGCAGAAACACATGCATTAAAGTAGCAATATGTAAGATTTTCATGTCGAGTCATCATTAAAGGGCCCTAATCTGTCAAAAGGCGTTAATAAAACATGTTCTTTTCAAATACTTCTTGAACTGATAACTGTAGTTCAGAGATATTTGGATTTCAAAATGAGTTTTCCAGCCCCTAAATCTTGTTTTGTTTTCATTTCGATGTCTCGCCCTCCACCGTTTCACCAATCAGAAAGTCTGTGATCCAGGTTGCCAGAAGTCACCGCATTGAGCTAATCTCACTGGTAAAGTACCATGTGGCCGCAGAACTAAAATGTTCTTGGTATGATTCTCGATTAATTAATGACAAAACAAGGAGTAAAACCAGGATTTCTATCTTTGTGAAAAATGTGCTGTTTACAGATTTGTTGTTGACAAAACTCTTTATTCAGATATTATAGTCCCAACTGGATTCGTCTGCATATCTGGCAACCTGAGTCAAGGAGAGCGCAGTACCACGTTTGGCCAGATTTCTACATACTGCTCCTTTAAAAGTAGCTAACAATAGAATTAAAAGGCTACAGCACTTTATGAGAGTAGATCCATAGTTTTAGTCTGAGGACTTTAAAATCAATGTGTATGTGTAATTAATTTAAATAGAATTTTCTTATTTGTAAAACCCTCTGTGGGCGGGTCCCGGCTCCAAAAATGTACAGGAGCATCTCACTCTTAGCTGGTGGGGGTGTACCCGGAAAGA